GAGCAGGCCCAGGCAGGCGTGGGGGGAAATTCCCCGCCCCCTCCCCCGGGCCCAACTCCTCCGAATCCTCTGATCTCCCAGCGCCGCCCGCCGGCTGCCCCCAGGGCTTGGGGGGAGGCCAGCGCAGGTGCGTGGGAGGGCGGGGGCGGCGCCGGGGAGGAGATGGGTGGTGGCCCGGGCCCCGGAGCGGCCCCGCCCCGCCCAGATCCGTTGCCCCTCAATCCAGCCTCCCCACCTCTCCGCAGGCCTTCACCAAGCTGTCCAGCCCCGACGGACTGTGCCCGCCCATCAGCTAGGGGCGTGCAGGAAGGATTCTAGAAAGGCCAAGATGTGGGTAGCGACGATGGGACCGGATACCTAGCAGTTAGTGCCTCTCGTGATGAGGCTCCTGGATCCTAGGGGCGGGCAGCCCCGGGGGTGAACATTCGAAGGAGGTGGGCTTGCTGAAACTCGAATTGGACACCAGGGTCGCCTCCTGGGGAAGCCCTGTCAGCTGCCAGGCTGGCCGGGACTCGCCTCCCAACTTCCTGGCCCTGCTGAGCACTGGACCGGGAGTCTCACATGCACATGCTAGCCCAGCAGACAACCTGTGTCTAAGGCCCCCCTAACCAGGGAATGACCGGGGGCCACCCTTTGACCTGGCCCCCTTCTCTCATGAAGGGGGGTAGAGAGAGAGGCAGTTGCTGCTGGGGCTTGTAGGTGTCCTCCCAAGTCTCTGGCCCACAGGCAGCATCTGGGGACCGCAGGCCTGGGCCATGGCCTCTGTGATGGAGGTGTGTGGGGAGTGTCACCTCCAGGGTCACAGATTGCCCAGGAAAGGGCTAGGTGGGGGACAGGGACAGGGGTCAGTAGGGAGAGTAGAGTAGGGACAGGCACCTGTCCTGGCAGGGATGGACCACGCTGTCCATCCAGTCTACTGTACTTCAGCCTCCCGTTCCCCAAGGGCTCAGTCTCCTGCAGAGGAGCTATTGGATGACAGGGACGGGGTGCTCAGTTCTAGGACTGGGGCACTGAGATGAGGGGCAGGGTCTCATTGCAAGCTCCAGTCCCAGATGGCTCACAGAGCCTCAAACTAAAGAAGACCTTGGCTCTGGGGCGCCTGGGTGGCTCAGTTGGTTAAGCGACTGCCTTCGGCTCAGGTCATGATCCTGGAGTCCCTGGATCGAGTCCCGCATCGGGCTCCCTGCTCGGCAGGGAGTCTGCTTCTCCCTCTGACCCTCCCCCCTCTCGGGGGCTCTCTCTCATTCTCTCTCTCTCAAATAAATAAATAAAAATCTTAAAAAAAAAAAAAAGAAGAAGACGACCTTGGCTCTCACCCTGTCACTTACAGAGAGTTCAGGAAGGCTGAAGGGCCCCACAGTCTCAGTGAGTACTTCCCCTTGGTCCCTGCAGAATAACGGGACTGCTGTGGTGGGAGGGCTAGGACCCTCCTACCTGCTCCTGCCCTCTACCTGTGTTTACTGATCCTGGTTCCTCCAGCTCCGCAAAAACAGCTGAACTTCATTTCCCTGCCTCCCTTGCATTTGACTATGGGAATGAGTTCAGGCCAATGGGGTGTGGGGCAGGAGTGATGCCTCTCCTTACTCAAAGTGGGGGCCCAGACCAGCAGCATCAGCATCACTGAGGAGCTTGTTAGAAATGCAGATTCTCAGCCTCCACCCTAGACCTCCTTCATCCAAACCTGTATTTAACACAATCTCCAGGTTTGCAGCACGCACATGTAAGTCTCTGCCAGGGCTCTCTCTCCTCCCTTCACCAACTAGATGTGGGAGATACCCAGGGCCTGGGGAGGGTGGAAGGAGCTGGATTCCTGAGTGACCTGGTGGAAGGTGCTCACCAACCCGAAGTGTGGGGATGCATGAGAAAAAAACATGTGTTGCGTAACTGTTGAGATTGAAGGTTTGCTTGTTACACCAACCGGCACAACTTAGCTTCACCGGCGCACCTCCTGCTCCATCTAGTTGTTGTCTTCCCTTTGCTTTCCTAGCAGAGTCCCACAGATTGGGGGCTGGAATTCCAAGACCAAGCCGTCAGCAGGGAGGGTTCCTTCTGAGAGCTGTCAGCATGGATTTGTTCGATGCCTCTCCACTAGTTTCTAGAGGTTGGTCATCACGGGTGTTCCTTGGCTTGTAGAAGCATCACCTCGATGTCTGGCTCCATCTTCACATGGTGTTCACCCTGTGTGCATGGGTCTGTGTCCAAATTTCCCTTTTTTATAAGGACACCAATCATATTGACTTAGGCGTCCACCCTAGGTCAGTATGACCTCATCTTAACTAATTGCATCTGCAATGACTCATTTCCAAATAGGATCACACTCTGGTACTGGGGGGTAGGACTCCCACACATGAACAGGGAGTGCACAAGTCAACTCATGACATCTCATCTCTTGTCCCTTTTCTGTCCTTGCTGCCACCTCCCTAGTCTGGGCCACTACCATCTCTTCCTTGGGCAAATCACACTCCAAACTGAGGTCCAGCTCCCCACTCTCACCCTCTACAACCTCTCTGGCAGCCAGAGTCTTTGGGGGGAAGGCATTTATTACAAACACCTTCTGGGTCTTGGCATCCGCTCATTTTTCTTTTTTCAGTGGTAAACAACACCTAACATTAAGTTTATCATCTTAGCCATTTTTAAGTGAATATTTCATTAGTGTTAAGTATATTCGCATCATTGTGCAATGCTGAAGGTCTAGCCCATCAAACACGAATTCCCCTCCCCTCTCCCAGCCCCCCAGAACCACCTTTCTACTTACCCTGTGATTTTTTTTTTTTTAACTACTTTAGGTATTTCATGTAAGTAGAATCACACAATATTTGTCCTTTTGTGACTGACTTGTTTCACTTCACATAATGTCCCCTGGGGTCATCCATGTCACGGCATATGACAGATTTCCCTCTTTTTAAAGGCTGCGTGATAGTCCATGGTATGGCTAGCCCACATTTTCTTCATCCATTCATCAGTCGATGGACATTTGGGTCACTTCCACCATCAAGAGTCCAACAGATGTGGGACAGGGGCCTGAGCAGCACCCTGACTGGGCCCCCACCCATCCCCTCTTCACTTAATGACATCTTTAACAAATATTTTTGAGTACTTGCTAGGTGCTAGGCAAATGCTCCTCCTTTCTCTCAAGCATTGGGGGTGAGAGGCCAGAGCCCAAGGCCTCATTTCCAAAGCTCAGGGGCCCTTCTAGTGCCCTCCGAGCCCTTGGGGGGACAGTGGGGTGGGCAGTCAAAAGGGTCTGAGCTCTGTAGGGCTGTGGTGAGGATACGGCCCAAGGCCAGGGGCTGCCCTGTCCTTGGCTGGTCTCCAGAGGACGCCCCGCCCCAGTACCTCTGGCTTTCGGTCCTTGAACCAGGCAGTCGTACTTGATGTGGAAACCAGAGAGAGAACACCTGGGCCAGGTGTTTCATGATGGGAGTGCGCTGTAGAAAAGCCCCTGGCTATGTGGCTATCATAGGGATGGACTGCAGAAAGGGGACACCAGAGGCTGCTGTGGTCGTGCAGGCAAGTGGCTGGGGCTCGGGATGGGGATGTTTATTAATGTAAGGACCAACTAAAGTGTTCTCTTTACTATAGGAGTGCCTTAGCGGGCGCTGTGGTGTGAATGTGTCCCTCTGAAATTCGTATGCTGAAACCCTAATCAACTGTGATGATCTTAGGAAGTGGAGCTTTGGGGAGGTGTTTAGGTCAGAGTGGAGCTTCATGATGGATTAGTGCCCTTAGGAGCAGAGGTCAGGGAGTTAGCTAGTCAGCCCCCTGCCCCATAAGAGGACCCAGCAAGAAGGCAGCCGTTATACCTCAGGAAGGAGGCTCTCGTCAGAACTCGCTCGTGCCTGCACTCTGATCTCAGGCTTCCAGCCTCCAGGACTCTGAGGAAACAAGTGGGTTGTTTAATTGCGCCCCACCCCCCATCTATGGTATTTGTTATGACAGCCTAAGTGGACTAAGACCCCTGAATTCCCCAAAACCTCCCAGCACCAGAGAAAGGAACCACAGAGCGAGTGAGGCTAATGGGTCTGGGGTTTCCTTTCGGGGTGATGAATATTCTGGAATTAGATCGCGGGGATGGACGCACCACTCATATACTAAGTGCCACTGCGTCACACTTTGAGTGGATGAACCGTATGGTGTGTGGGTGACAGGCAGGGCAGCACCAGTGGGCAGTCACAGTTAATGGGGACAGGCAGGACAGCGTCAAGCACAGCTCTGGGTTTCTCCTTGTGTGGCGGAACCCTCGCGAGGCGGACAACAGGTAGATGCCCCCTGTTGTTGCCTGTGCCTCATGCCCACAGGTTAGTCAGGGCCAAGGCCATGAGGCTCATGCTGCAGACTGACAAACCGGGAACCCTCCAAGCAGCCGGGCAGAGAGGGGCTGAGGTCCAGTCCCCAGAACACCAACCACGCAGCTTCTAGGCTGGGTGGAGGCAGAGCAGCCCTCCAGGGAAGCCAAGGACTGAGAGGAGCTGTCCTTGGGAGGGGTCGGCAGGGGGCGGTCAGAGCCTGAGCGCGAGCGAGCTCTGAGAAGCCTCTGCTGACTTGGGGCCGAGGAGGTCCCTGGTGCCACCTTCCTGCAGGAAGGATGTGGGGACCTGAGGCTGGGCGGGGACCAAGGGGGAGCGGAGCCGTGAGAAGCATTTTGATGATGCTCACCTTACCACCCTGGGGGCAGGGACTGGGGGCTGGGGCTCCCATAGCTGGCCACTGCTCCCCATTTTTAAAAATTGAGTTCCTTGTTGATACTTTTGTTATCCCTAGTGAATTTTTTTTAAGAATTTCATAATTGAGGGGCGCCTGGGTGGCTCAGTCGTTAAGCGTCTGCCTTCGGCTCAGGTCATGATCCCAGGGTCCTGGGATCGAGCCCCACATCGGGCTCCCTGCTCCCCGGGAAGCCTGCTTCTCCCTCTCCCGCTCCCCCTGCTTGTGTTCCCTCTCTAGCTGTGTCTCTCTCTGTCAAATAAATAAATAAAATCTTTAAAAAAAAAAGGATTTCATAATTGAAACATAACTTCATAATTGTTGCTCACTGTCACTACCTGCTCCGTGTGGTGCAGACATCATAAAATCGGGTTTATTGGGGGACACTAGCAGCAGAGCGGGAGCAGGGAAGGAGGAGGGCACTGCCTTGCTGATCCATCTCCAGCCACGGAGGGGCCAGCTTCTGAGGACCGGCCCCCGTGCACTTCGCTCCGTGACAGGACAGGGCAGGGGACATCTCTGTGGCTAGGCAATGGTGGAGGAAGTGGACGTATGGGAGGAAGCTTCTGGAGCCGGAGCAGCCAGGGGGCCACCCAAGGTGACGGTGGTGTCAAAACTCCTGTCCACGTGAGCATACTCAGTCCAAGCAACGCGGGCCATCCATCGGTCCTCTGAAGTCAAAGCAGGAGCAGGGAAGAGGAAGAGCATGCAGGCCGTCATCAGCATGAACATCCAGGATGAGGAGAAGCCTGCGTCCCCGTGATCCTCCTTGTGCTGCATCCTGGAGCTCGGCCAAGCTGAGGGGCACGGGACGTGTGATGGAGGAGGTCACTGACCCCACACAGAGCCGGCTGGGGAGGCTGCAGAGACAGCAGATCCCGCAGGCCGTGCAGGGGTAACAGCCGTTGGGACTCAGCGCTTCTCGCTGGAGCACCTCATGCCGTGTGGGGCGCCCCTTCCACAGTGGGGCTGAGCAGAGACTCAGCGGGTAGAGGCACGGACCCTCCTCCAGGTGTGGCCATCTCTCTGGGCATGCGTATTTGAGACACGAAGATGGGCCCGGGATTGGGGTGTCCTATCTGTTCCCACAGGGCTGTGTCTCTGGCCTTGGCCGTGGGCAGCTCACTGTCTCAGGGCGGCAGGCTTCATGGCCATGAGCACTGCTCAAAACATAGCCCCTGCGTAGAGCGTCCATGCTGAGGGCCGTCAGCACAGGGGTCCTCCGGCAGACAGCTGCCTCCCACCTGAGAGGTGGGCTGCCGGTCCGCGGCCCGTCTTCTTGACTGCGGGCCAGGCTGCTAGGCTAGGGCCCTGCAGAGCCGGTAACCGGGTCAGCGGATGGGCCACGCACTCGCCTGGGAAGGAAGCCAGGGTCTGAATTGGGGGTCGAGGTTGCCCTGTCCTTGGGGGTGCCACTTCCATTTTAAGCTCGCCCCAGTTCATGAGAAAGACGGGGCTCAGGATGAGGGGCCGCCGCGGAGAACCAAGGCCTCTCTTTCAGGGCAATGAGGGCAATGGCCAGCAGGGGCCGCAGCGCCCCCTGCAGGCCGGGGGCAGAGCTCTCAGCAGCCGCTCCAGAGGACGCCCCCTGCTCTTGGTCCAGCCGGCATTGGGGCAGGTGAGCTGCCTGCTGCGTGGGGGTCTCTTCTGGGGGTGCCCAGCCAAGCTCCGTAACTCCCGACCTCGTGGCACGGAGACACAGTGCGTGTGGCTCCGTGGTGGCCGACTGCTGTTGCACGAGGGACGTGGGCACACATACCAGTTCTACACGATGAGATATAAAACGGGGTTTATTGGCGGGAAATCTATAAGCAGAGGGACAGTGGGGTCCTAAGCTGTCGCTGTCCCACAGCCGGACAGCAGGCTCCGCGGCCAGCTTGGCAGGAGAGGGGGCTGGTCACAGGTCACAGAGCGCACGCAAGGAAGCTGGCCACGAGGCGTGGCCCCGGTAGCGCCCCGGTAGCGCCCCGGTAGCGCCCCAGTAGCAAGCAGCTGCCTCGGGAGCTCCCGGCCCACGTCAGCCTGCTTCTCCGCCGGCCTGCTAGGCCAGCCCGCTGCCCGCTCCCAGCCGGGAGAACGGGGTGGGCCTCCGCCGCCACCGGGCCTGCCTCTCCTCCTGCCTCGGCCAGACACGGCGGCCCGCTGGTGTCTGCCCCGGCGTCCCGTGGGCATCCGGGCTGGCTCCCGCTGCCAGAAACGACAGCTGCCGTGCGGACCGCGGCCCTGGTTTGTCTGAAGCCTGCAAAGGGGAGAGACTCCGACAGAGGGTGTAATGGGGCCTCTGCTTTGGCTCGCTCTGCCGCCACGAGGGACGGCTGCAGCCCAGCAGCAGGCGGCCCAGGAGCGCGAAGGTCCACTTGGCCCCGGTCTGGAAAACCCGCGGGGGGCGGCCTCCGCGGGGCAGCTCAGCTGGAAGCAGCGGCACCTTCTCCGAGTGCACCCACACCACACTGGACCGGCCTCGGCAAAGTCACACACTCTGGGAACGGCTGGGTGCTCGCGGCTCGGAGCAGCAGCTCAGGGAAGAGGCCTTTTCGTGGAAAGACGCTTCTTCCGCTCTCTCGTGGGCCGGACCTTTTGCCCCAGGTCGCACACACCTGCGAGCCACCAGCTCCTGGCACTCTCGTTCGCCCGCTCGGAGACACCATCAAAGTAGGGCTCCTGGGAGACCCTCGAGGGAACGTGAAGGCCCCCAGCGCTGCGGAAGGGTGGAAGAGAGTTTGCGTGAAGCAAGGTCTAACCGGGTGGGAAAGGCCAGGGGCCCGGGCGCACTCGGCGCACCCTGGACGCTGGCAACACACGAAGTCCGTCCGCTCAGTCGGGAGGAGATTGGCCTCACGGGGACTCGCTGTCCCGTTTTGTACCTTCCACCTTCCTGATTACAAAGAAACAGATATTCATTATACAAATCCAAACACGGCGGAAGTAGACAACATAGAGGGTTTCCTTTTCCCTAGAGATAACGGTCAGCTAGGTCGTTTTTATACACGTTCGCATACGCACATTGCACCGTTTCCTTGAAAAGGGGAAGTTGCCCCGTAACACGCACTAGCGTGTCCTGGGAGGAGACCCACACTCCTGAGAGGTCCCGCCTCCCGCTCCGGAAGATTCTTTGTCAAGAAATGAAAAGTTCTCTTGGATTACTGTGATGGGTTTGGGAAATGTCCACAATTCTTTGCTCTCCCACAGGGGATGGGGACGGGACGGAGGGAAGGAGCCTGATTCCCCTCCCCTTGCGTGGGGGCTGCGTGTGCTAATGGGCTTCCAAGGAACAGAGCAAAGCAGGAGTGGCAGGGTGAGAGACTGTTCAGAGAGTCACTGTCGCTTCCTTCCTGGTTTTTTTAGACAGCTTTACTGAGCTGTCCTTCCCACGCCACCTGGCTTGCCACATCAGGGTGGGACTCCACAGGGTCGGTGTATCCATAGCCATGTGCCCATCCCCACAACCACTTGGAGGATGTTTCCACTCTCCCCGAAAGTCCTCTCCCTCCTTTTCTACTTTGGGGGAGAGATTGTGAAGGGCTGGTGCTAATTCTTGGCTGAGTGTTTGGTAGAGGGCACCAGGGACGCCATCCAGGCCCCAGGGGCCTTTCTTGGTGGGAAGTTTTAAAATGACTAATTCAGTCTCTGTACCTGTTACAGGTCCATTCAGATTTTATTTCTTCTTGATTCGGCCTTGGTAGCTCACCTTTCTAGGAACGTTTTCACTTCATCTTGGGCACCCAGTTTCCTGGCACGCTGCAGCTCATAGCATCCCTTAAGACCCTTCTGTGCGTGTGTGGTTTTTCCTGTGGGGTAGGCAGTAATGCCCCATTTTTCATTCTTGATTTTAATAATTTGAGTCTTCCCTCTTTTTATTTTATTTAAAGATTTTATTTGTGGGGGGAGCGCCTGGGTGGCTCAGTCGGTTAAGCATCTGTCTTCGGCTCAGGTCATGATCCAGGGTCTTGGGATTGAGCCCCACATCTTTTTTAAAGATTTTATTTATTTATTTGACAGAAAGAGACTGAGAGAGAGAGAGCACAAGCAGGGGGAGCAGCTTGTGGGAGAGGGAGAAGCAGGCTCCCCGCTGAGCAGGGAGCCTGATGCAGGGCGAGCCCAGAACCCTGGGTCATGACCTGAGCTGAAGGCAGATGCTTAACTGACTGAGCCACCCAGGCACCTCTAAATAAATAAAATCTTTAAAAAAATAAATAATGATATATTTTTTAAGTAATCTCTACACCCAACGTGGGGCTCAAACTCACGACCCGAGATCAAGAGTCGCACGCTCCTCTGACTGAGCCAGCCAGGCGCCCCTGAGTCTTCCCTATCTTTACCAACCAATTTTGAAAAAATAAATTAATTTAATAAACAAATAAAAACCAATTTTGGGGGCGATGTAGTTAAAGGTTTGTCAATTTTGTTGATTCTTTCAAAGAACCAACTTTTGGTCTCGTTCATTTTCTCTTCTCTATTTCATTCATTTCTGTCCTTTCTCATCCTCCTCCTGCTTTAGGATTGCTCCATTTTTCTTTTCCTAGGGTCCTAACATGGAAGTGTAAGTTGCTGATCTGAGATCTTTCTTTTTCCTTAATGTAAGTCTTTCCAGCTACAAGTTTCCCTTCAAGCACTGCTCTACCACCGCCCGCGTGTCTTCGTGTGCTGTGTCTCCATTTCGCTCACTTCAGACCATTTTCCACTTGCCTCGGGATATCTTCAAGTCACTCGGGAGTGTGTTGACTGTCAGATACTTAAAAGTTCCCCAACTTTCTTTGTGTTGCTGATTTCTGGCTTCATTCCGCCATGAACAGATAACGTACTTTGTGTGATTTCAGTCCTTGTTTTGGACGAGTCTTGTCTCAGGGCCCACGTTCCGTCTATCCCGGCCAGCGCCCCACGTGCACTTGGGGAGAATACCAACTGATCTTGCTGGCGGCCTCCCCCTCGCTCTGCCCTCCCCCTCGGGCCCCTCGTCTGGGGGGGCGAGAGCTGTCATGTTGGAGGAGCGGTCCACACAGCGAGGAGCTGAGGCCTGCAGCCCACGCAGGCCTTCAGGTGACCGCAGCCCCGGCCCCCGTCCTTCCTCCAACCTCAGGAGAGACTCTGCGCCAGAACCAGCAGCCCAACCTCTCCCGACATCTTGCCCACAGACACCGTGACAGACAGTAAGTGTTTGCCGCCATAAGCCACTATGTGTTGGGCTGACGTGTGCACGAGACAACTCACAATTACCCAGACATCTGCCGGCTTTCCAGAGAGCCAGGCTGGACGCACAGCTGCGCTTCCGGCGGAAGTTTCATCTTCTCTGAGGAAAGAAAATGAAAACATGGATTAATGATTCTTTTCTTGTTTAAGATTCTCTTTTCTTTTTTACTATTTTTTTAAGTAGGCTCCACGGAGCCCAACACGGGGCCTGAACTCACAACCCTGAGATCAAGACCTGAGCCGAGATCAAGAGTCGGACACTTAACCAAGACTGAGCCACTCAGGTGCCCCCCTTTCCTTTTTTAAGTAATCTCTACACCCAACGTGGGGCTCGAACTCACAACCCCAAGATCAAGAGTCACACGCTCTACTGACTGAGCTGGAGCGGGTACCCCGTTAATTCTTGTTGAGACTGCTGGAGCTAAAGGTACACACTTTGTAACGATGACCTTAAGGCCTTGAGGATAAAGAAAACCGGGTAGAATGACTCTGATTTGGGCAGTCATTGGGAATTCTGGTTTTCGAGCGCCCCCAATTACCTGTGCCTGGTGAAAGAAGCTATTTGGGACCCCGAGAGTCAGCGTTCAACCCGTCATTCAGCAGAGCAGGACTGAATGAGACATCAAACCCAGGTGCCCCTGACAGTGCCACAGGCCTCCCACAACTCCTATTGCTGTTTTGTTTTGTTTTTTAAGATTATTTACTGGGGCGCCTGGGTGGCTCAGTCAGTTAAGCAGCTGCCTTCAGCTCAAGTCATGATCCTGGAGTTGGGGGGATCAAGCCCTGTGTCAGGTTCCCTGCTCAGTGGGGGTCTGCTTCTCCCTCTGCCCACCCCCCACCCCTTCTCTCTCTCTCAAATAAATAAATCTTTTAAAGATATTAAAAAATCTTTTTTAAAAAAGATTATTTATTTATTTGACAGAGAGAGAGAGCACGAGCCGGGGGAGCAGCAGAGGGAGAGGGAGAAGCAGGCTCCCCACTGAGCAGGGAGCCCGATGCAGGACTCGATCCCAGGACCCTGAGATCATGACCTGAGCTGAAGGCAGATGCTTCACCGACTGAGCCACCCAGGCGCCCCCCATGACTTCTATTTCTTATTGATGCCAAACAGTGGCTTTTTCCCAGAAACCTCCATTTTTTTTGAGCAGAAATCGTATTTCTTTCGGTTGTTTTACACAACTTGGATTCATTTGCATATTTTATAAGATATGGCCCTTATTATTCACATGAATTAATATGAAACACAAAAATGCTTCCTAACAACTGGTTTTCTATTCTGTTTATGTGAAGGGAATCCATTTTCAGTTCAATAAAATTAATTCTTGGCAAAATCTTAAGAGTGTAAGGTGATGTGCACGTGTGCATGTGTGTATGCATGTATGAGTGTGTGCATTGTGCACGCGCATGTAGGCATGAGCGTGTGTGTGTGTGTGTGTGTGTGTGTATACACACAAACATTAGCATGCTCTTCTGGAGCAGCCTGTTTTTTCATCTGATTTTCAAGAGACTGATCTGTAACCTGTTAAGACCTCTTAGGATAAGAGAAAGAAGAGGAAATGAACTAGAAGGGGAGTCATTTTGAGAATGGGATGGACCTAGGGGTGTTTTCAGGTTCCGGAGAAGGTGCCAGTGGACAGGACAGGTAGAAGACTCTGGAAAGGCCAGGGCACAAAGCTCCTCAGATGGTGCCTTGTCCCCTGAGGTGTCTGAAACTTAGGCTGGGAGAGTCGAGAGGCCCACAGCTCTTTTGTACTCCCACCTCTGACCCCATCCCCATCTGCACCTGGGTCCTCCTGCTGGGCCACGCTGGGGAGCCGCTCCCGCTGCCTCAGGGCCTCCAGGCCCGCCAGGTCGGGCAGGTGGCAGTGGCTACGCATCACCGTCACCAGCTGGCCCTGCGTGATGGCCCGGCTGCGGCAGCCCAGCCTGGCCTGGTCCCGGCACATCCAGTACACCTTCTCCCCGGCCGCCTTCTCCTTCCTGTAGAGGAAGGACTCGTACACCAGGAACCTGCCCCCGAGGGACGTCCTCAGGAACTCCAGCGGCCGGAGGGTTCCTGGAAGGAATGTGGCAGCGTGAATGGGGCAGCTCGGAAGCAGGGTGCAAAGCCTGGGTGCCAGGGACAGAGGCTGTTTCCTTTGTGCCACCAGCCTGCCCCAGGAAACCACAATCCTCCCACAGAACCCACTCTGCTCTCTGTCTCCACAGCAGCCCGTGCTGTGGGGCCCTGAGGACTGCAGCTCGGACTGCCACCCAAGGCCCACGGCCCGGCACTCTCGAGGACAGACCAGCCGTCTCCTTCTCAGGGCTCTGGTGCTGCCCTGGAGGCTGGCCCTGCTTTCCTGCAGGCCTCCTCTGACCCGGCTTGGATTCCACACTTGCTGGTGAGCACCCCGGTGAAAGCCTGGGCTGGAACATTCAGCGGGGCCCACGGCTGGTTGGGGCCATGCACCAGGAGCCTCCTGGCTCGGTGTCCACCGTCCCCTCGGCCAGCTGACAACCAATCAACTCTCTCTTGAGGCTTTTAAGACCCTGAATTGAAAGGTCATGTAATGTTGGGGTTCGGGTGGCTAGAGAGAATTGGGGGGAGGAGGGAGGAAAACAAACACGAGGACCTAGAGAGGGGAGACAGAGGGTCCCTGAGGTCCAGGCTCATTGCCCCGTAAACGGGTGCTGAGCACTTCCTGTAGTGGATTATGCCACCCCACCCCCTTCCCTGCAGCTGACTAAGTGGGTTTCTCTCTGCTGCCAGCCAATCCCAGACTAGCACTGGCCACAAGTGTGAAGCCTACATGCAGCCCTGCCTTTAGGGAGCTCACGCTGTGAGCACACAGCCTACCACACGTGGGTGGCTAGACCCCACCAGGCACAGGGCCTCGGACAGAAGGTCCCAGCAGGGAGACCAGGGCCAAGCACCTGCCCCGCTCCACACCCTCTCACCCGCACCTGAGCCTTCCCTCTGGGCCGGGCTGGGGAGCCGCTCCCGCTGCCTCAGGGCCTCCAGGCCCCCCAGGTCGGGCGGGTGGCAATGCCTACGCATCACCATCACCCGCTGGCCCTGCGTGATGGCCCGGCTGCGGCAGCCCATGCGGGCCTGGTCCCGGCACGTCCAGTACACCTTCTCCCCGGCCGCCTTCTCCCTCCTGTAGAGGAAGGACTCGTACACCAGGAAGCTGCCCCCCAGAGGGGTCCTCAGGAACTCAGGGCCTCCTGGGGAGAAAGGGAGAGGTGGGTTCGGGGAGGGAGAGCTGGGAGCCAGGTCCTGGGGTTCAGCAGTGAGGTGATGGGGGCCCCTGTCCTCAAAGCAAGAACAGTGTAGCTCCTGGAGGGAGCAGGCCCAGGAGGAGCCCCCCCCACCCGAGAGAGTAGGACTGAGGTGAGGAGGGAAGGGAAGAGCAACAGGAGAGGGCTGTAACCCCTCACAGAGTGTTCCCCTAAGGCTGCGAGGACGCTTGCTAGGGGCACAGGAGGTCAGAGGGAAAGGCTGGTCCTCTGGGTCTCCTGCCCATCACCACGGCCCACTGGCCACAGTCTGTCCTACCTGGGCTCCCCCGCTGAGCCGCACCCGGGCGTTTCTCCCGCTGCCTCAGGGCCTCCAGGCCCCCCAGGTCGGGCGGGTGGCAGTGGCCACGCATCACAGTCACCCGCTGGCCCTGCGTGATGGCCCGGCTGCGGCAGCCCATGCGGGCCTGGTCCCGGCACGTCCAGTACACCTTCTCCCCGGCCGCCTTCTCCCTCCTGTAGAGGAAGGACTCGTACACCAGGAAGCTGCCCCCCAGAGGGGTCCTCAAGAATTCAGGGCCTCCTGGGGAGAAAGGGAGAGGTGGATGGGGGAGGGAATTGGGAATTCAGGGTCTTGGGGTCCCCTCCTACCTCCCTGGACCTGAGGAAGCAAGACTTGAGGGGGCCCAGCTCTGGGCCAGCGCTGTGAAGGACTCACCGGGGTCCTCGTCCCGGTCCTCAGTGCGGTATCCCTGCAGGGCCTGGGGCTGGGCCGGAAGGACTTTTGTGCGCTTCCTAGGCCGGGCTCTGGTGAGAGTCAGAGTCCCCGGCCCCCTGCGGGAGAGCCGGCCATCCACGCCTTGGAGCAGCTTGTCCACTTGGCCCCCAGGCCCACCAGGCCTGGCCTGCAGTGTTTCCATGGCTTTCTCTTGCTGCCGCCGGGCTTCCAGGCCCTCCACATCAGGCGGGTGGCAGTGGCCCCGCATCACGGTCACCCGCTGGCCCTGGGTGATGGCCCGGCTGCGGCAGCTGTGCAGTGCATGGTCCCGGCACGTCCAGTAGACCTTGTCCCCCACGGCCTTCTCCCGCTTGTAGAGGAAGGACTGGTGCACCAGGAAGCTGCCCCCATAGCACGTCCTCAGGAATTCCAGGGGCCGGGGTTCTCCTGGAGGAGGAACCCGGGGCAGTCATGGCAGGCTGAGGAGAGGAGGCGGGGGAGGCGTGGGGGGCCAAGGGCTTTTCCCCTTTATGTGGACACTGGCTGTGGCTTCCCCCGAGCTGGGCGTGTGTGGGCCCCACGTGCATTCCCACCGAGCCCCCACCCAGTGCACCAGGGAGAAGGTGCAGTTCCTCTCCTGGAGGTCAGTGGGGAGGCCATGGCTCACGGTGGTTATACGTCACATCCAAGGTCGCACACCCGGGAAGGACAGAGCTGGCTTTGACATCCTAGCCTATGTGTTCAGTCACTCCTGGCCATACTCTTTTTAGGGTTTGTTTGAAACTTTTATTTAATTTTTGAATAGCACATGCACACGCCACAAAATTCAAATGGTGGCAAAAGATAGACAGTAAAAAACAAGTGTTCCCCCCCACACCTAGTACCCAGCACAGCAACTGCCCTAAATCCTTAAACCCTCGAATCTGGGTCAGAAGGGAGCCAACCCTTGGGACCAAGCCCACCTCCCACTTGCTGATAATAAAAGCCACCAAGAAGACCCCAGCTACCGGGCACTCAGCGCCACCACACATGGGACTGGCCTTGGGTGCTTCCTGCACATCGAGCATCTAATCTCCCTGGCACCTGAGCGATCACCCATCCCCGACAAAGTTCCGAAAACCCCAGAGTTTCAGCATCTGTACTGAAACCAGGTGGGGCTGTGATTTGAACCTGGTCCAAAGCTCTCCCCTAGGCCAACTTCCCCTAACCTCATGGGCTACCAGGACCACCTGGCCCTGTTAAAACTCGGGTTTCTGGGCCTCACACCAGACCCTGCTGCATCAGAAAGTTCCAGAAGGACTTGAGCCCCCTGGTTCTAGAGCACTAGTTCTATCCCCCGGGCTTGATGATTTCTGGGACAGGTTTCTATCTTTCAGCCATGTTGACTTGGAGTGCATTACAAACCATATGAGACCCCATGTTTCCATCTGGGCACAGGTAAGGACCCATGGGTTCCCACTTACCCCAGAGTGGAGCCCAGGTCCAGGGCACTCACCAATCCCCAGTGTCGGGCGTTTCTTGGGGGGCAAGCTCAGCAGTGACAGGGCTCGCAGCCCCTCATCCTCCTCTGCGGCCGGCTTGCTCAGCACCAATCCGGGGGTGGGCTCTGGCTCCTCAGGGCACAGCCATGGGCCCACCCCTTCCAGCGGCTCTTCCACTCGGCCCCGAGGGCCCTCCGGAACCCCGAAGCCTTCAGGCAGGGCTGGGCCAGGCAGCTTCTGTCTCCGGCGCCGCGCCTCCAGACCCTCCTCGTCGGGCGGGTGGCAGTGGCCCCGCATCACTGTGGCCCGTGGGCCTCGGGTGATGGCCCGGCCCCGGCAGCCCAGCTCACAGTGTTCACGGCACTTCCAGTAGACCTTGTCCCCCACTGCCTTCTCCTGCTTGTACAGGAAGCACTCGAGCACCAGGAGGCGGCCCCCGAATGGGGTCCTCAGGAACTCCAGGGGCTTGGGGGCTGCTGAGGACAAGAGAGGGCTGGGTCAGCTGGAACAAAGCAAGGCTGGAGGCCAAGGGCGTGGATGAGAACAATGGGGGACACACAGGGATGACATCCTGAGATCATCACACCAGCCTGAGACAGAGTCCTGATTAGAGACAAGGATACTTAGCTCCGAGCAGAGATGGGACCCCAAGGCCACCCCCTAGAAAGAGGGTGCACAGGGCCTATGTCTGAACATGCAGGGCCACAAAGGGGGCTGGGCCAGGAGCAGTAGGTCTGGAACTCACCTGTATCTGGCTTGCTGCATGTCTGCTCAGGGGCCTGGGGGGTTGGCTGGACTGCCCCCACTTGCTCCTCCACTGGCAGGATCTGGGGGGTCCTGGCCAGTGCGTCAGGACCAGACATCTCCAGGGACATGCCACAGTGCCCTCCTTTGGGCTGGGAGTCCACCCCATCCACGTTCTCCGTGGAGGCCGTCAGCAGGACCAGTTTGGAGAACTCTTTGGGCTTTGTGGGGACTACAAGAATGACATCTGTGCCTGGCTCAGGGGACTCCGGGGATGGCTCCTGGCCAGCCTTCACACTCTCACCCTCCTGCTCGCTGGGCTCCGGCAGGGGCATTCTGGGACGATGGCCTGTCCCCTAGGCCACACTCAGGCCCCAGCAGATGGAGTTCTCTTCCTCCTCCTCCTCCCTGGTCGGGAACCTGGCAGTCCAGGGGCTCTGTCCTAAGGAAGGAGGCAAAACCCATCAGTGGAGGCCCCCTTGGGCCTGGGGCTCAGAAAATGGACGTGGGGTGGAGGTGGAGGCAGAGGGGGCTGAAAGGCTGGGGAGGGTCCCACACGGAGCTGGGGAACCCCGGGTCGGTGCTTCCACTCGGCTGCATCCTCTCAGGCAGCTGGGGTCTGTCACCTCCCCTCCCCAAATGCCACTTTCCTGTCTGTAAAATGTGCCACAGGCAGGGCTCTCTGGGGGCTGTTGGGGTGCAGGCAGTGAGGCACTGAGAACCGTGAGCTTCTACAAAGAGAGGCCCGTAGGTGCTAAGCACGGTGGGATGTGTCTTCACGGGATTTCCCATTTAACTTGGCCCCGTGTTATGAAAGTCGATCATTCTTATTGACCCAGTGTACAGATGAGGACACTGAGGGACGCCAGGATGGCCAATATGGCCATGAAGTGCAGAGCTGTGAGTCTGGTCGAGGGGGATCCAGAGCCCGCCCCACACAGTACCTGGTGTGCCTTGTCCAGGATGATGGTAACTGGCCTTCCTGAGCACTAAGCCTCAGGGACCAGCGCTTGGCACATGGGCTCATGTCACAGACCCTCCCAGAATGCCCGGTGGCCTTCCTCCTGACACTGTGTCACAAGGAGACCGAGCCGGGCACCCACCAGCGCTCTGCAGACCACAAAGGGGACGCCTGGCTCTGGGAGGCAGGACTCTCTGGACTCACAACTAGATCCATCTCCCATCCCAAGCCGGAGGCCCTGGACCACGCAGCACTCAGGAAATGCTGGGGTCCCAGGAAGGCAGTGACCTTGTGCCTGAAGTGGGGCTGGCGCTACCTCAGCCGGGAGGGGACGGGGCTGTAGAGGTGTCAGGAAAATCCAGTCACTTCAGGCTCCCTGGCTTCTGGCCTGGAGAAGCAGAAAGGATGTATTATGGGGGCAGAGCTAGCCTGGAGACAGGGCCCTGGGTATCAGTGTGGGGTAAACATTTTGCTTTCTTGAGGGACTGGGTGGTGGGTGAATAGGCTGGGTCTCCCCCACCTCTCCTTAAGAGCCCAGAAGCAAGACCACAGCCTCCCTGCACATTTCAGCTTCCCATTTGTGAGCTGTCACCCTCGTTTCCAAGTTCTGCCATTCCAATGCATTCCTGCTCTGAAGTTCCCTGGTTTGGGGCCCAGATTCAGCTCCCCAAAGCCTGATCAGCCTAATGGCAGGGCCCCAGTGTCCCCACTAAGACAGAGCCAAGGCTGAAGACTCAGAGGGGCGCCTCATCCCCGCCCCACCCCGCAGTATACGCTTGCCCATCCCAGGGCAGCAGGGAAGCCCATCCCGGGGACGGCGGGGGGGGGGGGGGGCGTTGGGATGGGGGGTGGTGGCGAGGAAATCTTCCAGGTAACGGGCCACCTGATTGAGAGTTCCGGCTGGCCTGCCCTCCCGCGTCATACCCCTGGACGAACCAACCCTCGCTCCTCCCATGCGGCCCTTCTCTGCCCTGCCCATCCCGCCCCACACCGCGACGTGGCGGGGCAGGGACACGCGTGCCCCTGGGGACCAGCGCGGTGAGACCCAGTGCGTGCCTCGGGGAGGAGCTGTCTGGGCGGAAAAGGGAGCCGGTGGGAGGCCCCGCCCCTGGGCCGCCCCGCCCCCCTCGCCGATTGGCTCCGGCGTCCATCCCTCAGCCGGCAGCCCGCCCCGGTTGCAGCCCTCGGTCCCCGCGCTCCGGGTCCCCGCGCTGCTGGCACGCTCCTGCCGTCCCATCGGCCTCCAGCCTACGGGGCCAAGGGCGCTGGGGGGGCGGGGACGCCTCAGACAACTCGGGCCAGCCGAAGCGCTGCAGTCACTGTCCACACAGCACGCACACTCCTACAGGCCCGGGCCTGGGTCCTCGCCACGCGCGGGGCAGGAGGGGACTCTGTGGGGACCCCGACGCGCCATCGGCCTTAGCCTCAAACCATCAGATGCCGAAGCCTGGCCTCCTCCGAACTAGAGGGCCTTGGCATGACTAAGAGCCCCCACATTCTACGGGAACTGGACCCGGAGTCATGGGTACCCTGAGTCAGGAGACGGTGCGGTCCCCTCAACTACAAGTTCTGCTTAAAAGGCTTCCAAGATGCACGCACCTCAATGGATACAGAAGTTCCAGCACAACAAAAGGCGAACTATGGCCTAGCCAACGCCCCCCCCCCCCGCCCCCTCCCCCAGCCCCTTCTGCGGAAAAGCATGGGTCTGGCGATTACCTAGAATTTGGATTGGATTAACGGTTACCATTCTCAACCATTCCGGGACCTTGTAATGTAGACTGTCTAATGACCACAAATCCTCCCATAAAGTATGCAGGCCCCCTTGCAATGTGGTCTTGAATCTGGACTGGCTCCAGCCCAGACGGGTGACTTGCTGAGTGTGGCAGAAGCATGCTGTGGGGGTTGGCAGTCCTCACCCTCAGGAGACACGGCCCTGTGCCTGCCAGGTTAGGAAGCTGTGTGAGAGGCCACATGTGGGCACGGAGGCCCTGCCAGGCATGGAGGAAAACTATCTTGCAGACCCCCCAGCTGCGTGTACCTACATGAAGGGGCCACAGGACACCAAGCCAGCTGGTGCAATCCTGCATGGTGGCCACACGAACGGCCACCCACCTTATGGAACACCAATCAATAATAAACTGTTATTTTAAGCCAGTGAGATCAGGGTCTTTTCTTACTCAGCAGTAACTCATACTCTTGGCAAGTGACTCAACCTGGTGGGTTTGGGCTTTTTTCTTTTTTTTAAAGATTTTTATTTATTTATTTGACAGAGACACAGGAGAGCGGGAACAGAAGCAGGGGGAGTGGGAGAGGGAGAAGCAGGCTTCCTGCTGAGCAGGGAGCCAGATGAGGGGCTTGATCCCAGGACCCTGGGATCATGACCTGAGCTGAAGGCAGAAGCTTAATTACCGACTGAGCCATGCAGGCACCCCAAGGGTTTTGGCTTTTTGATGCATGGAACAATAAAGGTTGTGAGATACACATCAAAGTGCATTTGAACTTCAGGTGCCATGCTACATAAATGTTAAATCCCTCAGTTGATCATGTTTAAAGGGCTGGTAATTCAGTGAGAAAAACAAAAATATTAAGTATAAAGGATAGCAATGAGAATTAAGTACTTAAAAAGTCCATAACAGGGGCTCCTGGGTGGCTCAGTTGGTTAAGTGTCTGGTCATGAGCCCGGAGTCCTGGGATGGAGTTCCATATTGGTCTCCCTGCTCAGCCAGGAGCCTGCTTCTCCCTCTACCTCTGCCGCTCCCCCTGCTTGTGCTCTCTCACTCACTCTCTCTCTCAAATAAATAAAATCTTAAAAAAGTAAAAAGTCCATAATGCAAAATAAACCAGTCACAAAAAAACTAATGCTGTACGATTCCACTTATGTGATGTCCCTACACTTGTCAAATTCATAGAGGCAGAGTCAGCGGCGTTGTGGGGCTGACGGGGGGGAGGCGGTGTGGAATGGGGGACTGTTGTTTAGTAGGTGTGGTTTCAGTTTGGGATGACGATGATGTTCTGGCAGTGGATGGTGGTGATGGTGGCATGCCAGTGTGAGGGTCCTTAATGCCACCAAGCTGTGCACTTAGAATGATTCAAGTTGTAAATTTTTGTGATATATATTTTACCACACACACACAAATCTGTAACAACCTACATGCAGTAATATTCCTTTTACCTAACATCATTGGTGAATGAAGTTCTTCAAAAAAGGCAGACTTCAAACTAGCTAAAGTTCTCTCTCCATGATGTGGACTTTTACCATTTTGTTTCACAGTTTACCCACTGAGGATGGATCTCTTCATAAGCTCTTATCACTCTTCACTATCTGGATGTAGGGGGCATACATATTTTATCCTGATTTGGAAATAAACATGTCTCCACCCAGTTCCCTTGGTACAGCTCCCCTCCTCCCTTGGGGCCCTTTCACCACCCTTTGAGTCCTGCTCTCTCTGGTCACCAGAGCTCTCTGCCTCTGCAGTTCTTTGCACTGGGACCACCAAGGTTTTTCAGTCTCCTGTGTCCAAAAACAAGACCTAACAAAAGCCCCTCCTTCCCTCAACAGTTCGACTTTGCAAGAACAGCCCACACTCCTTCCTTCTCAGCCCAGCTGTCTGCAGACTGCCCGCCAGCTCTGCGGACACCAACCACTCTCTCATTTGGCCACCATGCAGGGTTGGCACCAGCTGGGTCCGTCCGTACACCGCGTTCTCCCTTGGAACCACCTGCACTGGCCTATGTGTGGTCCATCCATACAATGGAATACTATTCGGCCATAACCAGGAATCACATTCTGGCACGTGCTGGATGAGAACATCATGCTCAGTGAAAGAAGCCAGGCACAGGGGCCCCTGGGTGCCTCAGTTGGTTAAGCGTCTGCCTTCGGCTCAGGTCGTGATCTCCAGGTCCTGGGATCAAGCCGCACGTCGGGCTCCTGGCTCAGTGGGGAGTGTGCTTCTCCCTCTCTCTCTCTTCCTCTCCACCCTTCTTGTGCTCTCTCTCCCTCGCAAATGAATAAATAAAATATTTTTTTAAAAAAGAAGCCAGACACAAAAGATGTATGACTCCATTTATAAGACATGTTCAGAACGGGCAAATCCACTGACATGGAAAGCAGATGAGTGATTGTATAGGACTGGGGGAAAGGAAGGGGAAATTTGGAAGTGATGCTAAGGGGTGTGGGGTTTCTTTTTGGGAGGGTAATGAAAATGTAAAATTGACTGTGGAGATGGTTGTTCGACTCTGAATACACGGAAAACACTGAGTTATACACTTTTGATAGGTGAGTTGTGTGTATGTAAATCATATCGCAATAAAACTGTTTTTTAAAAAAATCCTTATAGGGACTTAGGTCCCCAGGGTCACTTGGATGAAAACTGGTTTTCTTTTTCTTTTTTTTTTTTTTTAAGATTTTTTATTTTTTTTTAAGTCATCTCTACACCCAACGTGGGGCTTAAACTTACAACCCTGAGATCAAGAGTCGCACACTGCACTGACTGAGCCCACCAGGCGCCCCAAAAACCAGTTTTCTACACCAAAGCAGACCTTTCACTACTGGGCTTGGTTTCCTCATCGAAGAAGAGGGGTGGCATGGATTACATATTAAGATATTGTGTAAGTTGCTAATATTATATTGTAAAAACTATATAAAAATATGTTTAAACTGTTAAGAACCTAATTCCTAGTAAACGGCCCATAATCCTGCCACCCAGATGCACCACTCTCTCCATTCTTGGATTAGAGCTCTTGACTGACATTTTGTTTCCTGTGGCACACATCGCATTCAACATGTTGTTTGCTATTTCACCCCACTTTACAGTGGGAGGCCCTCACCTGCAGACCAGATGGAGCCCTTGCAAAGGACCAAATCATTATGTAACGTAGACCCAGAACAGGCAGGAACGCATACCTAAATCCTTGGCAGCAATGCTCCCGAAGGCCACAAGATAGCGGTGTTGCTCCTTAGGATGAACGCACTGCATCCTTGGTAAAAAATTAACTGCCTGACACAAACGTTTCCAAAACAAGAATGTGAGAGTTCTTCCATGTAGCAAAAATAACTGAAGACTTCCAAAAATGTTTGTATTTACAAAACCTAACAGTTAGCAGATGCAGTTAGCAAAGTCTGCAAATACTATCTTTTCTAAGCTAAGGTTTTCCCAAAAAAAACCCCACCCAAATCCAAGTATGGCTCAGACCCGGCGGGGCCTCTGGCCCTCAGCCCACGCGCCTCTCCAGCCTCCGGAGGGCTCTGCTCACAGTCGTCGGTTACGGACTGATTTTATTTTATGTATTCATGGCCTAAAAAAACCCCAAAAAACAAAACAAAAACAAAAACAAAAACGGGGCGCCTGGGTGGTTCAGTGGGTTAAGCATTGGCCTTCGGCTCAGGTCATGATCCCGGGGTCCTGGCATCGGGCCCCGGCATCAGGCTCTGTGTTGTGTCGGGCTCCTTGCTCAGCAGGGAGTCTGCTTCTCCCTCCCCTCCCGCTTGTGCTCGCTTGCTCTCCCAAATAAATAAAAAAAAAACCCTTAAATACCTAGGAAGAAATATCTCAAAATGTTAGAAGTAGTAAGAACAGTGATTTATTTTCTCCTTCCATTTCTTTTGTTTTCTTGAAATCGTGGACAATGTGCATAAACTCTCTGTACCGTGGGGAAAGGGAGACGCTGTAAAGACAAGCTGCATCTCCTCGCTTGGTCATTTGTCCTTTAACTCCATAACTCTCCTGTGACAAGTCACACGAGAAATTAAAGGGTAATATAAGCGACAGAACAGATAAATGAACAAAAATTGAGGCTATTAAAAATCCCAGTTGTGGGACCTGCATAGCCTCAGACATTCCCTCCAAGATATTTATTAACTACAAAAGGAAAGACAGTAACTTGACGGTGGGGAAATCCCCCAGACACCCCCCTACATGATCGAGGTCAACTTCACTGGTCATAAGACACATCAACACCACGACGTCCTTGATGCAATGCACCAAGGACACCCCACCATCTCTGTGACACTCCTGCCCCAGGTGCACACCCCCACTTTAATCAGACAAGCCACATCGAAGGACGGTCCACGAAACAATGACCAGGAGACTTCAAAACTGCTGAGGTCATCGAGGACAAGGGCAGGCTGAGGACCTGTCATAGACTGGGGGTGCTGAGGAGACACAACAACTAAATGCCACATGGGATGGCGGGACGGAAAAAGGATGCTGGGGACAAGCTGGGGAAACCAGAGTCAGGTCAACAGTGTAGGTGAAGAGAACTGTACCCACGGTGATTTCCCGGCTTTGATCTCCACGCAGCGTCCGGTAAGATGCTGACAATCGGGGAGACTGGGTGATGGGTATGTGGGAATTCTTCGTCCTATCTTTGCAATGTTTTTAAAGTCGAAAATTAACTCAAAATAAAAGGTTCTTGAAAACCCAAGTTTCAAACCTATAGACACAATGGGAGTTGACAGAGAAAATAAGTGATGGAGACCTCCTGAGTATAGGGTGAAAGAGAGAGGGAGAGGGAGACACCCTCCTGTCCAGAGCCTCATCATCCATCCTGGGACCTGGAACCTGGGACCTGGGACCTGAGCCAGGAACAAAATTCCTCCGGCATCAGCCAACACCTCCAGTCCATTGACCCAGCAACCTCCTTGCCAACCGTCACCATCATCCCCACTCAACTTCTGGGGCCTTGAGTGGCCCAGCACCGCACGGCTAGTGAGAGCCAAGACTCCAACCCAGGCCCAGCTGGTGCGGAGCTAACGGGGTGCCTCCCTGTGCCCTGGGCAGCTGCAGGAAGAGGTAAGAAGTGCCAGGTGGAGGAAGCTGATGCTCAGGGCTGCAGTCAGGCCTTCAGAGTAAGTCTTCAGCTGCACTGATGTGTCCCTACAAACCAGCTATTTTATGGTTTACCAGGGTGACTTCTGGCTGATCTGGCCAATGGGAGGCTCAGTGGGACACTGGTGGGTGGAGCGAGGAGGGTGTTCCAGAAGCCACCTGCCTGGCGTGGGTTCACCAGGGCGGTCTGCTGCAGCTTTGCTGGACCCCTGCCTGCCGCCCTGGAACTCGGCCTGGCTGTGCTGGAAGCATTGAGCCCCTGCCACTCTCGGGCTCGCTCACCATTTCCTGTTTGGCCTCTCAGCTCCTCCACCACCAGGGATCGCAAGGAAACTCCCAGTTCAAATCTTAAAGTAGTTTCTGTTTTCCTGGCTGGATTCTGACTGACACAACCCTCGAGAGTCTAGAGGACTGTGATCATAATATGTAATATTTACCAAATACAACGATGTGCCTGGCACTACCTCCCAGGGGCTCTGCACGTACTATTCCAGTTTATCTTCCAAATAACCCCATCAATTAGAGTCCACTGTTCTTTCATGTCATAGAGGAGGAACCAAGGCTGAATCTGTGAGCAAGAGCAGGCCGATAAAGACAGAGTCCGCATTCAAGACACCTGTGTCTGCCTTCAGGGCCTCACCTCTTAAAATCAGTAAAAATGGGGGGCACCTGGGTGGCTCAGTCGTTAAGCGTCTGCCTTCGGCTCAGGTCATGATCCCAAGGTGCTGGGATCAAGCCCCGCATCAGGCTCCCTGCTCAGCGGGAAGCCTGCTTCTCCCTCTCCCACTCCCCCTGCTTGTGTTCCTGCTCTCTGTGTGTCTTTCTCTGTCAAATAAATAAATAAATAATCTTTAAAAAAAAAAAAAACAGTAAAAATGGTTCTTTACACATTGAGGATTCTGACCACAGGTATCAATGGAGTGGGTTAAGACTGGTGGTTGTCAGTCAAGGTGATTTGCTTCCCAGGCAACAACTGACAATGTCCAGAGACATTTTTGGTTGTCACCACGGGGAGGCAGGGCATGCTGCTAGCATCTAGCGGGGAGGGCCCAAGGCTGCTGCTCAACATCCTACACTGCCCGGGGTAGCTTCTCCAACACTCCCTAAAGAAGCATCTGGTCTAAAACACCAACAGAGCCAAGGTTGAGAAACCCTACTTGAGATCAGTGTTTAAAAAAATGAAAAAGAATTTAAAAAATGAAATAGAATAGAAAGAGTGAATCCATATAATGCGGTTAAGTATATTTTTCATGCAAGTTTTATTATAATTAGTTATTTGTGTAATTCTGGTCTTCATAAAAATTCCCCTGGGCCCTTGATAAAAATGCAAATGGTTGGATTTCCATCTAAAATTCTGACAGAGGATCTGGAGAGGGATTCAAGAATCTGAATTTTCAGCAAGTACCCCCACAAGGCTCTGGTGGACCATGGACTGTGCTTTGAGAAACACCTGAATAGATGCCCTTGAGAAACAGGTGGTCCGTCAGTAAGTGATGAGCCTAAGAAGGATTTGAAGGGGCTTTTTTTTGTGCCAGGCCCCACATTAAGTATTTTATATACATGATCTCATTTAATCTGTCACATTGTATGTGCTCCTTCATTAATGTGTTAAATAAAATCATTAGCATGTGTTTATTTTATGTCAGTAGGAGAGTCATGGTTTCATCTTTTCTGAGATGATCCTGTAACAATTTATCGCGTTTCACACACCTTGGGCTATTCAGGGGCCCTCAAGAATACAGACAGGAATTTGCTCAAACTCCTAAGTAGTATAAGTAAAATCTGGTGGAGAGAGCTTCTGGAGCATGGCTTCCATACCTTGGGATAGCAAATACCAGACTTCTAAAAATCCCACCAGATATTCCTTATGAAGGCTTCCAGCAAAGCAAACTCAAGAAGGCCTTTACGGTGAATTAACGTGCTTGTACCTATGCAAACAATCAGGCCAAATCTAATGAGACCAGCCTTATTTTGTGATCAGAAGTATCTTTCATTGAGGTTATGAGACTGTAAAGGACCTTTGCGCCTCAATGGAAACTATGCAGTGTCTAGAACACATCCTTCCAGGTTACGGGATTCTAGCCTTTGACTCATTTTGACAACTCTGTATAGTGTAGACAACTGAGAGCAATGCGAAATTATTCTAGGCTGTGGGCAATAAACTCTCTCTCCATGTAAATAAGTACATGGAAATAATTCTTCCCCCTGAATAAAAAGCCAGTTTTGCCTCCATGTGCACATTTCAGTATCTGTAGTCTTCTAGAATCTTCTTTGGATTCTCTTGCAAACTGGTTGTTAGATCTTTCTGGTTCCTTGGTTAATGAGTTAAGTAAAAGCTTCCATACATGTTCATTCTACATCTGTATGAAACAGCTTTATTTCCTTTGTTTTGGTCTAAGGTTCTGCTTTTCTAATTGCCTAGGTCATTGGTCCTATAATCTCTGGATCCAGTCAGCAATTTTTAAAATTACATGTGAAACATCAATCTGCACTGCATGAAATAAAACTGGGTATTATTTTATGAAATTTCCACTCGTTATACATGTGTCTATTTATTGTAGATGGACTTAAATGTATTTTTTTTACTTTGGATTGCTTTGAGGTCAATACTTGGGTCCTTGTGTTTGTCTTGTAATACTCAATTTTTACTCACTAAAGATTTATTGAGTGACTGAAGTATTTTTAAATCGGGCAGATTTAAATGGAAAGTTCGAAAGCTTCACGGTTCATGCTTCGTCACTCTCTTATCCCCTCCGCTCCCCTCCCCCAGAAACGAGGCACAGAGCAATTTTGGGCACAATACTCAGCTGCCCACTCTGACACTGCTGTCATGCAGGTGGTCACAAAGGGCTCGGTGTCAGCCTAAAACCCAAGAGACACAGTATTACAAACTGCCGGGTGCCTCTCAGGCAAGATCTAATCGGTAAGGTCCTCAAAGTCTGAGCCTCACTCAGCAGCTGATAGTGGGTCAACAGAATTACCTTCACGCACAGAGAGTGAGAACCGCCATCCCCATCCGCCAGTACCCGGGTCCTTACTGCCAGCTTGCTGGGTGCAACACTTGGGGCAAATTCCATCGATTCTCTAGACTGATTTGACCTGTGAAACAGGAAAAGTGGCAAGTGAGATACTGTATATGAAATTCTTCTATAAACTGTAAATCATCACACAAGGACAAAGAGTTCTTTCTCACGCCCAGGGGTCCTGATGTTTGAAAAAGCTCCTGGGTGACTCCAATTGCTGTCCCCCTCCCACACATGCTAATGAGCTATGAGGGGTAGAGGTGTGCACTGACTGACTCGTGAACTCTCCTATGAAATACGCATGCTTTGTGTGCATACGGGTATCATTCCTGGGCGGTGTTGAGGGTGGCAGTGGACCCCCCCCCCCCCCCCCGGCGATTAAGAATCACTGTTCTAAAGCAGGGCTTCTCAACCTCAGCACCACTGGCATTTGGGGGAAGGGGAGGCTGGATGTTCAACAGCATCCCTGGCCTCTGCCTGCTGGATGCAGCAGACCCCAGCCCAACGATCGATATTGCTGTATGTCCCCTGGGAACCCCTGCTCCTGAGCACCTGAGAGATGCACAGGGCACAGAGAGGAAGATTCTAGCTCCAGGTCCTCCCAGCCCGAAGTCCTTCAGTCACCAGATCAGAACCTGAGCTTTTTTTCTTTCCTTTTTTTTTTTTTTTTAAGTAATCTCTATGCCCAATGTGGGGCTCAAACTCACAACCTGGAGATCAAGAGTGGCATGCTTTACCCACTGAGCCAGTCAGTGCCCCAGAATCTTAGCTATTTTTTTTTTTTACTCCTTCCTTACCAGGCCTCATGTGTCCTCAAATCTCATTCTCTGTACACCTGGTCACACCACCTCCCATGGCCTTTCCACTGAACATCACTCCAGGGCTTTGATCCTCACCTACTCCTCAGCAGTCTTTCCATACTGCATCCAGCCCAGCCAATTCTCCCTACACAGTGCCAACCAGTTAATCTTCCTAAAGCTGAACTTTAATTATTTCTCTCTCTAGTAAAAATCGTCTCCCTCTCCGTTATAAACACTCCACACTCCAGCCCCAACCTCACACACTATCTCTTCTCCAAGTCTGACTAGGAGCTTTTGGAAGAGGAACAGGAAAAACCTGATGGCATCAAACTAGAACATTCAAATCAAGTCCTCGAAGGGATTTTGGCCCTGAGAAGCAGAAATGTCAACATATTAAAAATATACCTTTTCTATGGAATTGAAGGTTACCCGTGATTATCTGATTATTGGAACTCAGCATCCCCCAAAGGCAAGACGTAAAGGCGGAGAAAGACGGATGTTTGTTAAAGCAAGAGTTTCAAACTGTGGTCAGAACCATTAGGTCCTGAAATCATTTCCATGGGTTAGCAACAGTCATTTGGAATGGAAAGAACAGAAGAGAACAGAATGGAATCAGAACAAAGGTAGAGTAGATCTGGCTGTTATGAGAGGTTAGGGTCATTTCTCCTTTTGAACTTATCTTCCAGTAATCACATCTACAGGCACAAGTTATGCATGGAGAACATATTTCTTGAGTCAAAAGTTTGAAAGTCACAACAGGCAATCTGCGTAATCAGAAGTGGAAGGAGGGATGTAATAGCAGCAAAAAGTGCAAGGTCACTGGGACCTACAGAGCCGCGCAGACGGGACGGGGTTGGGGTGGGTGCCAGCGCGGGTCAGCGCCGGTGCGGCGGACACGGGCGGGGGGTAGGAACGAACGGGGGGCTCCCTTGCTGGGGGTGTCAGGGCTCAGTCAGGGTCGGCTGTATTGGGGCGAAGGAGGAGCCAGGAGAAAGGAGACGAGTCTCGGGTGAAGGACAAGGAGCGGCCTGAGCGCCGGGACACGGAGCTGGGTGACACCACCCCCCCTTCCAGCCTCAGCAGCCCTCGGGACCCCCGGGGAGGCCTGGCCGGGGGCGCGGCCACGCCGTGTGACCCGGGACCCTCCCCGGCCCGCTGGGGCCCGTGCTCACCGGGCACCGGCCGGGCGGCGGCGGCAGCGGAGCCCTCCCTCTCTGGAGACCGAGCCGCGGCGGGTCCTTTGGCCTCGGCCGCCGCAGCCACAGGCGTCGACCTCGCGGCCCAGGCGCCTCCGGCCACCACAACCCTAGCGCCCGCTCCCAGCCCCCACCTGCCCTCTCGGGAGCGAGCCCCGTGCCCGCGCGCCGCCCCACTAGCCGGGAGCGCGCGCCACCCCGCGGGGGAGCCGACCTCTTGGAACGCCCAAACGGGCTCCCAGCGAGCATGCGCAGCAGGGCCGCGGGGCCCCATTCCTTGAGCAAACTCCTCTTCTCCGGCTCTTCTGTGAGCGGCGCCGAGCTGGCTGCCTGACCAATCGGCGCGGGGATATGGGGCAAGGGTTTGCGAAAGGGGCGGGGCAAGCTCAGGATTGGGCGGGGGCGTCCGGGGGCGGGGCGTCGGCCGGACAGGCGGCAGGGACTGGGGATTCTGGGCGGGGGCTCTGAGACTAGGGAGTTGACAAACTCAAATATGAGAGGGAGAAGCAGACTTGCCGCTGAGCAGAGAGCCCCATGAGGGGCTCCATCCCAGGACCCCGAGGTCATGATCCCAGCTGAAAGCAGACGCTTAACCGACTGAGCCACCCAAGCGCCCCATGCCTGGAGTTTTCAAAGTTCATCCATGCTGCAGCCTGTGGAAGTATTTCGTTTTTGTAATGGCCAAATAATATTGCATTGTATATATAGACTATGATTTGTATATCCGTTAATCTATCGATAAGCATCTGGGTTGTTTCCAGGTTTTGGCTACTATGATTCACGCTGCTATGAGCATTCATGTCCAGATTTCTGTGTGTACGTATGTTTTCAGTTCTTTGGGGTGTGCACCTAGGAATGGAATTGCTCGGTCATATGGAAATCCTATGTTTAGCCATTTGAGGAACTGCTAGACTGTTCTCCACAGGGTCCTCACCATTTCACATTCCTATGAGCAGCTTATGAGGGTTTCAATTTCTCCACATCCCTGTCAACACTTGCTATTATCTGAGTATAGCCATGCTGGTAGATATGCAATGGTATCTCATTGTATTTGGGGTTTTTTTTAAGATTTTATTTATTTATTGAGAGCGAGAACACAAGGGGGAGGGGCAGAGGGAGAGGTAGACAATTGAGCCAACCAGGTGCACCAAGCTTTTGCAATTTTTAAAAAAGATTTTATTTCATTTATTTGAGAGAGAGAGCATGAGCATGGAGAGGGGCAGAGGGAGAGAGAAAGAAGCAAGCTCCCTGCCAAGCAGGGAGCCCGATACAGGGCTCAAGCCCAGGACCCTGCAATCATAACCTGAGCCAAAGGCAGACCCTTAACGGACTGAGCCACTCAGGCGCCCAGCTTTTGCATATTTACTGTTAATTGCTTGTTTTACACTTTGCTCTTCTTATCGAAGTCTAGTTGACAAACAGTGTTATATTAATGTCAGGTGTACAACATTGTGACTGGGCAATTCTATATACTAGGCAACAGTACACCACAATGAGAGTGGTCAGACCTGTCACCACACAAGGTTATTACAGTATCACTGTATTCCCCAGGCTGCACTCTTCACCCCTGTGATTTAGCCAACACATTTTTTTTTAAGATTTTTATTTATTTACTGAGAGAGAGAATGATAGAGACCATGAAAGGGAGGAGGGTCAGAGGGAGAAGCAGACTCCCTGCTCAGCAGGGAGCCCGATGCGGGACTCGATCCCGGGACTCCAGGATCATGACCTGAGCCGAAGGCAGTCGCTTAACGACTGAGCCACCCAGGCGCCCCTAGCCAACACATTCTAAAAGCACTACATTTTTACTCCCCCAGCACCCAAACTGAACAGCAAAAACAATGGAACTTCATTTTTTGTTGTTGTTTCTTGTGTTTTTGGTGTCATATCTAAGAAATCACTGCCTAGGGTCACCTGGGTGGCTCAGTCAGGTGTCTCGACTATTGCTCCTTTGTAGTAAGTTTTGAAATCAGAGTGTGAGTTCTCCAATCTTATTCTTTTTCAGGATGGTTTTGGCTGTTCTGTGTCCCTTCAGTTTCTAGGTGTCATCTTCTTTTCAGTCTTTTTTTTTCTTTTAAGATTTTATTTATTCATTTAGAGAGAGAGAGTGAGAGCGGGAGGCGGGGCAGAGGCAGAGGGAGAGGGAGAGAATCTCACGCAGACTCTGCACTGAGTGAGGTGTAGGACATGGGCTAGATCTCACAACCCCCAAGATCACGACCTGAGTGGAAATCAAGAGGCTGGAGCTTAACAGACTGAGCCACCCAGGTGCCCCTCTTTTCAATCCTTTTGAGAACAAATCTCAATTTTACATCGAGAAAACACGGCACAGCAATTATTTTTGTGGGTCTCTGGCTTTTCACTGAACTCTACATTGTAAACATCCCGTATGTCATAGGCTTATTTTATATGATTAGCTACACAATTTAGTTCTTTTCTTGGTGGACACTGCAGTTCTAAATCCCGTTATTATAAATACTAACCCGTGGCTGCTTCATTCCTAACATTTGGGAAATCTGGGTGAAGAGCATATAGGAATGCTTTTACACTTCTTGCAACTTTCCTACAGGTGTGAAATTATGCCAACATAAAAGGGCAAAGAGGGGCGCCTGGGTAACTCAGTCGGTTAGGTGCTGACTCTTGATTTTGGCTCAGGTGGTGATCTCAGGATCCCATGAGACCTGGCACCTCCTCCCTCCCCCACGGTCCCTCCCTTGCCCTCCGGTCCAGCCCCACCCACAGCCCACAGCCGCTGGACGCTTGTCGTTCTCCTACCACCTAGTGCGGTGGGGACCTGGACCACAGCGGGGAGCTGCGGGTCTCGGAGCTGCGGGCTTGGGCGCTGCTTTCCTGGACACTTGGCGGGCGGCGGCCTGAGCGGCCCCAGTATCAGCCCAACTGCCGCCCCAGGTACGGGGACGCCCCCGCCTCCACTCCACACGGCGCCCCGGGCCCTCTGCTCACCGCGACCCTCCCCAGGCCCGCGAGGACCCTTGGATCCGCCCGCTCCCCTTCGCCGGGCCGAAGCCCGCAGTGTTCCGGCTGCGCGTCCTCTGCGCCTTTGCAGAGTGAAGACGCTGCTCCTCTCCAGAAACCCCCACGCTGCCCTGACACCCCCGCCCCTGCGCCTCCCTCCTGTTGCCATAAAGCTGCTGCTGGAAGTGCCCCCCCTCCCGGGCAGGTGCAGGTGCAGGTCCCGTGGGGCCAGCCGGTCCTCCGACTCCCGCCCCGCCACCCCTCGGCGCGCCCCACTCCCTGTTCTCCATCAGCCCCAGATCCACAGGGACGTCTCAGGGACCCAAATCCACAAAGACCCCTGCTCCGGGGTGCTAGAGCTTCTGTCGGGGAGACCGGGCGAGAAGCAGTGGCTACAATGAGTTGCGTGGGCGGTTACAGGTGGTGCGTGCGACGGGGGTGGGGCGCTGCAGGTGGTTACGGAGGAACCCTGGCGGCCGGATCGCCTACGCCCACCCCTGCGGAAGGCGGGTCGGAGCCGCTGCGCGCTCCTTCCGCTACGGAGGCTCCGGGACCGCGGCCGGCGAGCCGCGCGCGCCCCCTGCCGGCCGCCGCCCGCCTCGGCCCCGGTGCGGGCGGTGGGAACCCCGGGAGCCAGAGCGGAGGCGGTGCTCACCAGAGAGGCGGAGCGTGCTGCTGCTGTCGCTATTATGATTACCATTCTCTCGGTGACAGCACCCGTGGACAAGGACGCGTGGGGCCGCGGGGAGCAGGGGAGTTGCTGGTCCTCCCCGTGAGCAGCGGTCTCCCTTGTGGAGCTTCGTCCCGTGAAAACCCAGGGCTACTTAAAGGCTTGTAGAGCAGCTGGAGAGGACCGGGGTGCAGCCGGCGTCAGGACAGCCGGATGCCTGGTCTTCCGTCCCCGTAGTGGCATGCTGCAGTCCGTAAAACCGCGTTGGAAAGTCATTCGTAATGGATTAGGAGAAAATGAGCTGTATCATCCCAATTTTCTGAATATGAAAAATTTATAGACTTATCTCTAGATGATAGAATTACTGGAGATATTTGTAACACTTTTTCATAATCAGTACGTATTTATTTCAATGACCATGAATTATCTTTTTTTTTTAGCTTGAGGACCAATAAATTATGTTTTGAAGGAAGTGTATAGTCATCTTCTTTACTTTTTTTTTTTTTAAGGGGCGGGAGGGGCAGAGGGAGAGGGAGAGAAAGAATCTTAGGCCGACTCCATGCCCAGCGCACAGACGGCTGGGACATGGGGCTCCATCTCAGGACCCTGAGATCATGACCTGAGCTGAGCCGACAGAGCCTCGCAGATACCCTGACTCTTGAGGCAGAGCCTCCTTCATTTTATAATGAAGCCCCCCAACCAAGCCTCTCACAGAGTGCAGAGACCCAGCGCTGGCATCAATCCGTGACCTCTGAGGATTTTCTGCTCTAACATCGGGGGAACCACTGTTCACAGGAACACGGCGATTCTCCTCCTGGTCGCTGGCACTGTCCCTCCCCGATGGGACAACCTGTCACTGAACCAGTGTCAAGTCTTGACAGCACCGCCCACCTCCCCTCGGTCTCCTGTCCCCCAAGGCCGTGGTGACCTTCTTGCCAGACTTTCAGAGCCCCCTTTGGACATTTCCAGTCGGTTCCCCTCATGGAGCCCGTAGGCTTTGTACAACAACGCTGACCATGTCCCTCGTCTGCCTAAATCCTTCCCTGGCCTCCCACTCCCCATCATGAGCCTGGAATCCTCCCTGTGGGCTCCAGGCCCCGAGACCCTGAGCCACTGCCCACCATGTCCTGCCATGGGCCAGGTCTGCTGGGACAGCAGGCCGAGCTGCACCAAGTCGCCCCTTGCCGGCCCCCCTGTCCTCCTCAGGCCCCTTCTTCACTCTGCTTCCCAGGGGGAACCCCACCACCAACTCCTCAGGCGTTCCTGTCATCTGACCACACCAGCCCACGAAGGGGATGATGCAGAGCCACAGGAAAGGAGAAACATGGTGAAGAGCAGAATCTATTTAAATATCAAATTAGGACAAAGGAACATTTCAAATGATGGTTACAGAGCATAAATGTTAACAACCACGCTGGAGGAGAAACAGAGCAAGATGGAGCTGGGCCAGGAGGGGTGCTGAGGAACTCACTTTTCCTAAGAGGGGTCCATAATGCAAGCTAAATTTGGGAAGATAATGTTCAAAAACATAAGGCCTCTAGTCTCAACATTTTAGAAATAATCCATTTGTTTCCTTTGCCCGATGGCAGTTTCCACAAAACGAGGACCATGTGAGGTGAAGCCAACTGGAGGCCGAAGCCTTTCCTGTGGGGGGCCTCCAGGGAACCCTGACTTCCGTTTGTAGGGGGGGTAACTGTGTTCTGTTCACTCCCTCCTCCAGCAGGGGTGGCACCCAAGGTGCCTGGGGAGGGGTCAGGTGCCCAGGAAGCTCAGCCCCCAAATCACCCAGAAGGAACATGATAGGGGCATCATACACTACGGTTGGGGCCCACCCCCTCCCCAGCAGAACTCTGGGCAACCATGAACACAGGCTCCCATGAGGGGTGGGGGGAAGCTGTCAGTTGGTGGGATGTCTAGAGGAGGCAAGCCTCCTGGGAACAGGCCCTGGAGGGATGGTCAGGGAGGGGCTGGATAGGCTTCCCAGGGGCTCAGGCCTGGGGGTCCCACTGCACCCCTTTCAAGCCAGAAACAGTAGGAAGGAGAAAGCTCAGAGAGCCCACCTAGTCTCCAGGCCAGTGGTGGCTCTCCAGGCTGAGGGGCCGGGGTCTGAGCCCTGGGACAGGGCCCGGGGAAGGCTGGTGGGGTTGCGGTGGGGTCTCAAAGGACCACAGAAGGTTATAAAACCTGTCCATAATGGGACCTCGCATACAGCTTCTTTTTTTCTTTTTGAGGTTTTTTTTTCTGTTTATAAAAGTAATTTATGCTTGATTTGGAAAAAATTACACAATGTTTGAGAATGAAAACCAGTTGCAACTGGGTCCCCAGCAGAAGTCACAGCCAAGGTCACTGATCCAGTGAGGGCATACCATGCTTGTCAGAGTTACAGGAGGGTGCTGGGCATGACGGCATCTGCGGTGGGCTCCTCCCCTACGACCTCAGTACTGGGGGCAGACTGCCCTGCCAACCTTCCATCTTCTTTTCCTGCTGGAAGAGAAAGGAGTGGGTCAGGCTGGTGTCACAAAGGAAAAGGGAGGGCGGGAAACCCAGGGCCTGAAGCTCTCAGTCCAGCCAGGGGATGCTCTGGGATGCCATTGGCTGACTTACAGAAATAATTGCTGATTTCAGAGACGTGCTCCCTAAGACCACCAGCCCAGGGACAAAGAGGCTGTTAAAGTCATTTCCAGGGAACTTTGGGCGAAATCTGGGTTGAGCACCAGGAAGCCACTGCTACCCCCACCACCTGGCCTGGGATGGGATAAGAGGTGGGAAAGTCTGGGGACCAGGTATTGAGGTAAACACAGGTGGCACGTTGAGGGGGTTGCTCACTGCCCAAGAGCACCTGCCTAGGGGAACTTGTGGGGCTGAGATGTAGCCCTTGCTCTGCCCTCCAGCCCTCCATCTGAGGACGAGTGGCTTCGTTTTAATTCTCACCAAGGGGCCACCTGCGGTGGATGGGGCCCACATGGTGCCAGAGCCCAGGCAGATCCGAGAAGTGCGCAGAGGTCTCAGACGGGGTGGAAGGACCAGGAGACGGCCCATCCCACCCAGCTCCGTTAGAAGAACAGGCTCTGACCAGACGCACCCTACTCTACCCTCTGCAGTGACCAGCTGGTGGCCTCAGAGTGGTGACTTAGCTCCTAGAGCCCTGCCTCTTCACAGGTCATGGGGACCACACTCTCCACCCCTTGGATTGGTGGGAGGCAGCAGGTAGACGTGAGGGCGCACTTGGGGCAGGACTGGCCAGTAGAAACACTCAAGGGTGAGCTGGACGTGCCGCAGAGGGGCCTCCAAGCTCTGGGGGGATGGGGTCCCCCGAGTCCTTGAGTGCAGCCCTGTCCAGCAGTTGAAGGAAGCTGAGGGGTCCCTTGGGTCCCCTGAAACTCCAGGCCTGTGGCTGGGGACTCCCCCATCTTGGGTGCCATGGTGTCTTGGTCCAGGGGAAGCAGTGGAGTTCCCTCCCCTTGGACCTCAGACCACTCACTCCTACACTTCCACCAGTGAGTGGGGTCCCCTACACTGCCCAGGCCAAGCGCCCTGGCTGGATCCAAGGGGGCCACCTGTTCACAGGCAGCAAACGGGGGCCAAGTGTTGTGGTTTTATTGTCCCCATCTTCTCAGGGTACAGCAGACCCCACTTCCACTTGCGAAGAAACCCAGCTCAGCTTTCCCCAGCCACTGGGCATCCCTTCCCTCGAACGCCCCTCAGGAGTCCACGGTCAGAGAATGCATCCATGTGCCGATGTCGCCCACAGCAAGCCGGGTGGGGGTGGGGGGCCTGCCTGGGGCCTCAGCAACATATACCCCTAGACCCCCAGACACATAAACACATAGACACGGAAGAACAGACAGGAACAGAAATAGGCCCAGGACCCACACAAATATATCTGGAGGGACACACCCACTCCCCCTCCCAGGCCAATCCCCATATAGACACGTGTGCGTGGAGGCCTACGGACATGCAGGCCCTACACCGAGGTATAACGTGGACAGCATGTGACTGTCCAGAGCCAGCCCGGCCCCCAGGCTCCTGGGTGTCAGGGGACTTCCAACCCCAGGAAGGTCTTGACCACACCGTGCTCACTCCAACCGCCCGGGACCTCACCTGTGTCCAGCTTGCTGCGTTTCTGCTCAGGCTCCTGTGGGGGTGCCTCGATGGCCCTCTGAGCCTCAGGATGGATCTTGAGGAGGGCTTTGGCAAGGGTGGCGGGGCCGGGCACTCCCAGGGACATGATGCAGTGCACCCCTTTGCGCTTGGCCCCTGCCACCTTCGCACTGTCCTTAGAGGCCGTCAGCAGGACCAGTTTGGAGAACTTCCTGGGCTTCCTGGGTGCTGCAGGCACAACATCTGTGCCTGGCTCAGGGCACTCTGGGGACGGCTCCTGGCCAGCCTTCACACTCTCGCCCTCTTGCTCGCTGGGCTCCGGCAGGGGCATTCTGGGACGATGGCCTGTCCCCTAGGCCACACTCAGGCCCCAGCAGATGGAGTTCTCTTCCTCCTCCTCCTCCCTGGTCGGGAACCTGGCAGTCCAGGGGCTCTGTCCTAAGGAAGGAGGCAAAACCCATCAGTGGAGGCCCCCTTGGGCCTGGGGCTCAGAAAATGGACGTGGGGTGGAGGTGGAGGCAGAGGGGGCTGAAAGGCTGGGGAGGGTCTCACACGGAGCTGGGGAACCCCGGGTCGGTGCTTCCACTCGGCTGCATCCTCTCAGGCAGCTGGGGTCTGTCACCTCCCCTCCCCAAATGCCACTTTCCTGTCTGTAAAATGTGCCACAGGCAGGGCTCTCTGGGGGCTGTTGGGGTGCAGGCAGTGAGGCACTGAGAACCGTGAGCTTCTACAAAGAGAGGCCCATAGGTGCTGAGCACGTGGGATGTGTCTTCACAGGGTTTCCCATTTAACTTGGCCCCGTGTTATGAAAGTTAGTCATTCTTGGGGTGCCTGGGTGGCTCAGTCGGTTGGGTGTCTGCCTTCGGCACGGGTCATGATCTCAGGGTCCTGGGATCGAGCCCCACATTGGGCTCCCTGCTCAGCTGGGAGGTCTGCTTCTCCCTCTCCCACTCCCCCTGCTTGTATTCCCTCTCTCGCTGTCTCTCTCTCTGTCAAATAAATAATAAAATCTTTATAAATAAATAAATAAATAAATAAATAAATAAATAAATAAATAAAATGCTTTAAAAAAAGAAAGTCAATCATTCTTTTTTTTTTTTTTAAAGATTTTATTTATTTATTTGAGAGAGAGAGAACGAGAGACAGAGAGCAGGAGAGGGAGGAGGGTCAGAGGGAGAAGCAGACCCCCTGCCAAGCAGGGAGCCTGATGCGGGACTCGATCCTGGGACTCCAGGATCATGACCTGAGCTGAAGGCAGTCGCTTAACCAACTGAGCCACCCAGGCGCCCCGAAAGTCGATCATTCTTATTGACCCAGTGTACAGATGAGGACACTGAGGGACGGCAGGATGGCCAATATGGCCATGAAGTGCAGAGCTGGGAGTCTGGTCGAGGGGGATCCAGAGCCCGCCCCACACAGTACCTGGTGTGCCTCATCCAGGACGACGGTAACTTGCCTTTCTGAGCACCAAGCCTCAGGGACCAGCACTTGGCACATGGGCTCATGTCACAGACTCTCCCAGAATGCCTGGTGGCCTTCCTCCTGACACTGTGTCACAGGGAGACCAAGCCGGGCACCCACCGGCGCTCTGCAGACCACAAAGGGGACGCCTGGCTCTGGGAGGCAGGACTCTCTGGACTCACAACTAGATCCATCTCCCATCCCAAGCCGGAGGCCCTGGACCACGCAGCACTCAGGAAATGCTGGGGTCCCAGGAAGGCAGTGACCTTGTGCCTGAAGCGGGGCTGGCGCTGCCTCAGCTGGGAGGGGACCAGGCTGTAGAGGTGTCCGGAGAATCCACAGTCACTCTGGGCTCCCTGGCTTCTGGCCTGGAGAAGCAGAAAGGACGTATGACAGGGGCCGACGGCAGGGCAATGCGGAGTAGCCTTTTTGTCTGTTGGGCGCGACTGAGTGCTGGGCAGTTGGCAGGGTCTTCGTCAGAGTACAGTATTAGCCCAGAAACAAGACCTCATCCTTAGCAGACATCTCCCCTGCTCATCTCAGAACCCAGGCAACGGCAAGTCTCACAGACATCTACCTGCCCCCTGACCCTGTTTATCTAACCCGGTTTGCAGTTCTCACTGTTTCCTGGGACCCCTCCCAATACATATGGCTTGAGGAGGCCATGCCCCGATTTCCAGTTCTCTAAGACCCCATCCATGAGAGAAGTCGGGGTGCAATGCCAAAGAGGGTTTGGGGTGCCTTGTCCCCTGCAAGCCCTCCTCCCCAGTCCCTTGGCCACTAGACATAAAAGCAGAGACCTCTTGGACTGCGACAGACATGGAGCCCTCACCTCCTAGGGGTGAGCCCTCAAGGAAATCTGCCTGGTAATGGGTCACCTGACCAAGGCACCCCTGGGTTCAGTGTCTCTATCCCTCCTGCCCCTGGCCCCCCAGTTCAGCCCTGGGACAAGCCAACCCCTGTTCCCCCAGCGCAGTCCTTCCCTGCCCTGCCCATCCTGTCCCACAGGGTGACATAGCAGTCCTGGAGGAACATGGGGACCAGCTTCAGAAAGGACAACACCAAAGCCTCCCCTGGAAGAGCCATTCTGGGCAGAAAGAGGTTATGGCAGAAGCCCTAGCACAGGCCGTCCTGCCCAATACACATTCAGATCAGCTTCAGTGCACATCTCCTGGAGCCAGCCCACCTTTCTGGCTTGTAGGCTCCCCCTAGTCTGGGGATGAAATCCTGCAGCGCTGGACCCCTTCCTCACACCATATACAAATACTAACTTTAAAATACTCTTTAGGGGTGCCTGGGTGGCTCAGTCGGTTGAGTGTCTGCCTTCTGCTCAGGTCATGATCCCAGGGTCCTGGGATGGAGCCCCACATCGGGCTCTCTGCTCAGCGGGGAGCCTGCTTCTCCCTCACTCTCCCTCTGTGCTTTCTCTCTCTCTCTCTCAAATAAACAAATAAAATCTTTAAAAAAATAGTCTTAAAAAAAAAGATAGGAGTAAAGCTTCATGACCTAAAATCAGACAAAGCTTTCTTCAATATGACATGAAAAGTACAGGCAACCAAAGAAGAAAGAGATAAACTGGACTCCATCAAATTTTAAAACTTTTGTGAATCAGAGGACACCAACCAGAAAGTTAAAAGACAGTCCACAGAGTGGGAAAGAATTTTTGCAAATCATATCTCTGATGAGGGAATTATATCTGGAATTTATAAAGAACTCTTACAACTCAGTAACAAAAAGACCAATAACCCAATTTAAAAATGGGCAAAGGCTCTGAATAAGCCTTTCTCTAAAGAAGATCTACAAATGGCCAGTGAGCATATGTGATGCTCAACAGCATTAGTCATGAGAGAAACACAGAATAAAACCACCAGGAGATACTACTTCACACCACCAGGATGCACATAATAAAAGGAACACACACAAAAACCAGACAAAACAAGTGTTGGTTTGGATGAGGAGAAACTGGAAGGCTCTTACACGGCTGGTGGGCTTGTCAACAGCACAGCCATGTTGGCGGTCTGGCGGCTCATCAAAACGTTAAGCACAGAGTCACCATATCACCCAGCAATTCCACTCCAAGTACATGTGCAAGAACTGGAAACAAATGTCCACATAAACACTTTTAAGTGAGGGGCGCCTGGGTGGCACAGTCAGTTAAGCTCCCGATTCTTGATTTTGGTTGGGGTCATGATCTCAGGATCGTGAGATCAAGCCCCTCTTTGGGCTCTGTGCTCAGCGCAGAGTCTGCTTAGGATTCTCTCTCTCCCTCTCCTTCTGCACCACCCTCCCCCCCGCTCTCGCTCTCTCTCTGAAATAAATCTTGAAAAAAATTTGTATATGAATGTTCACAGCAGTATTATTCACTGTCATCAAAAAGTGGAAACAATTCAAATACCCATCAACAGATGAATGGATAAAAGATGGCATATCCATACAATCGAATATTGTTTGGCAATTCAAAAAAATTATGCTACAACATGGATGAAACTTTAAAAGATTATGCTGAGGGGTGCGTGGCTGGCTCAGTCAGTAGAGCATGCGACTCTTGATCTTGGGGTCGTAAGTTCGAGCCCCATGTCAGAGGGTAAATTGTAATCTTAATTAAAAAAAAAAAAAAACCTTAAAGGGGCACCTGGGTGGCTCAGTTGGTTAAGCGACTGCCTTCGGCTCAGGTCATGATCCTGGAGTCCGGGGATCGAGTCCCACATCGGACTCCCTGCTCAGCAGGGAGTCTGCTTCTCCCTCTGACCCTCCCCCTCTCATGCTCTCTGTCTCCCATTCTCTCTCGCAGATAAATAAATAAAACCTTTAAAAAAAAAAAAAAAACCTTAAAAATAAATAAATAAATAGAAGATTATGCTGAGTGAAAAAAGCCAGTCATAAAAGACCATGTATCATATGGTTCCATTTATATAAAATGACCCAGAGACCAATCTATAGAGTAGAAAAATCTATCCTTAAGAGACAGGAGATGCGTGGTGGGCTAGGGGTCGGGGGAGGGCAGCGGGAGAATGAGGAGTGACTGCTAGTGGGGATGGCTTCTGCAGTGGGGAAGGCAATCTTCTGAAACTGACCATGGAGATGGTTGTGCAACTTTATGAATACATCAAAAGCTGTTGAATTGTACCTTGTGAGAGAGTGAGCTGCACAGTATGTGAGTTAGCTCCATAAAACTATTAGAATTAGGAAAAAGGGAAATGAAGTCTACAACCAGTGGTCCCCCAACTTCACCATACCTTAGAATCACCGGGGTTCTTGTGACAAATGCACAGTCCTGGATTACTCCACTACCCGCCCCCACTCAAGGGGTCTGGAGAGGGGTTGGAGAATCTATATTTTTTACCAGTACCCCATCTGATTCTGATACTGTGAGAGACACGGATGGCGCCATGGGCCTTTCACTCGGGAAATCTGTAACTGCTAGTTGATGGGTTGAACTGCTTGTCAATCTCTCCATGAACAGGAGTGGGTACGTCCTTCAGGCTGGATCAGCCTCTTTTCTGGAGTCATCCTTCTAGAAATTTTCTAGGTGTGGAGGGAAGACTTGACAGGCAGCTATTTTAAGTCTAATATATATTTTTTGAAAGTTAAATTTCACTCAATGAAAGTTCACTGAATTTTTATTTCATTTCATTTCATTTCATTTTAAAGATCTTATTTATTCATTTGACACACAGAGATACACAGAGAGAGAGACCATGAGCAGGGAGAGAGGCAGAGGGAGACGGAGAAGCAGGCTCCCCGCTGAGCCAGGAGCCCGATGTGGGGCTTGATCCCAGGACCCTGGGATCATGACCTGAGCCGAAGGCAGACGCTTAACCATCTGAGCCACCCAGGCGCCCCTTTTATTTTATTTTTTAATAACAAAATAAAATAAAAAATAAAACACAGGGCTCACGACCCTGAGATCAAGACCTGAACTAAGATCAAGAATCAGATGCTTAACCGACTGAGCCACCCAGGTGCCCCAAATGAACAGAATTTTTAAAAGCGAAGTAGAAATGAATTAAAAAGAGCAAAGGGCTTAATAGTTCACTTCCCTTACTTGACACCCTTTCTCTAATTCTGAAATCCGGTGGTTTGAGATCACCATTGACCTCCAGTCACCCATTCATCCTAACCCGCTGTCATGACATGGGTCTGCACAAAGCCAACCCAGAAGTGTCAAGGTGGCTCAGTGTGAACCCCAAATCATACGACGTTAGGAACTCGCAGGAACCCCTCAGACACTCTGGGAAGCAGAATCAGGGCCTAATGAACGTAACCCCTGGAACCTACAGGACGAAGTCTGCAGATGGGGTGAAAGTTACTAAAGTAGGAGAGCAGCTTGGATGACCCGGGTGGGTCCAATCACAAGGGTCCTAAAAAGTACAAAAGGGAGGCAGAAGAGAGAAGGAGAAAACTGGATAGAAGCAGGGTCAGAGAGACCAGGATGGTGCTGGCTTTGAAGAAGGAGGGAGCGGCAGAGAGCCAGGCAATCTGGAGGCCTCCAGGAGCTAGAGAAGACAAAGAAACAGATTGTCTCTCCTGGAGCCTCTCGGAAGGAACACAGCTCTGCCTGCACCTGGTTTTAACCTCCTGAGACCCACCTCGAACTTCTGACCTCCAGAACTATAAGACTGTTAGGAAGCTGTGTTGTTTAAAACCACTACATTTGTGGTAATTTGTTACAGTAGCAACAGGTAACTAATAACAAGGTCCGATCCCTTGTTCCTGAGGCTCTGGAAGGCGTGAACCCTGCCCAGCCACTGACGAGGGATCAAAAGAATGACCTCCACACATATGGGAGAAAAATGCCACCAAAATCCACCGGCACCTGTGTCCTCAGCCACAAGGACAAATCCCTCACCCTCTCCGGGTTGGTTCCACCTGTATGATGGGAATGGTGGGGAATTTGGCAGAGGTTCTTAATAGCAGGTAGGCAAGGGTACGCTGTTTCCAAAAGTCCTGGGGGTACTGGCAGCTGGGCCCCAGATCATCACTGTCCCACGGGGCTCACAGAGGACTGTGATTGGGCTGCCGGTGGGATGATGGGCCCACTTAGGTGCGCAGGTACACATCCTCACAGGGAGAGTTTCAAGGCAGCAAGGATCCAAAAAAGGTCAAGGACTGCTACTCTGTAGTACGTAGGGGAGAGCCTGCCCACAGTGGGATTTTCAGGTAAGGACACCACCTTCCCCTCAGCGCCCTGGCTCTTAGGTACCTGTACTCCTCCTCACACACTGTAATTTATCACCAATCCTGTCTGTGCTGCACCCAA